AAAGATCTCTAGTAGGAAATCTGCATAACACTGATGGAAGAAATCATAGATGACACAAATAAATGAAAACACATCCATGCTTCTGCATGGGTAGAATCAATATTGTAAAAATGGGCATACTGCAATGTACAAATGCATGCGATGTACAGATACAATGCAACTCCCATCAAAATTTCACCATCTTTCTTCACACTTAGAAAAACACTTCTAAAATTTATAGGGAAACAAACCAGAGCCAACCCAGCCAAAGCAAGACTAGTAAAAGGAACAAATATGGAGGCATCACACTTCCTGATTTCAAAGTATTAGGCCATGGTCCCCAAAACAGCATGGTACTGGTATAAAAACAGGCACACAGATCCATGGAACAGAACAGAAAACCCAGAAATGAACCCACATATTTACAGCCAACTGACCTTCAATAAAGCAAACAAAAACATGAAGTGGGGAAAGGACACCCTTTTCACCAAACGGTGCTGGGATAACTGGCCACCCACATGTAGGGGAATGAAACTGGATCCTCATCTCTCACCTTAGATAAAAATCAACTGAGGACAGATTAAGGACTTAAACCTAAGACCTGAAACTATAAAAATTCCAGAAGATAACACTGGAAAAACCCTTTTAGGCATTGGCTTAGGCAATGATTTTATGACTAAAAACCCAAAAGCAATTGCAATATAAACAAAGATAAATAGCTGGGACATAACTGAAGAGCATTTCCATGAAAAAAAGAACAGTCAGCAGAATAAACAGTTAACCCACAGAGTGAGAAAATGTTCACAATCTGTACTTCTGACAAAGGACTGACACCCAGAATCTACAACAAACTCAAACAAATCAGTGAGAGAAAAATCAACCAACCCCATCAGAAAATGGGCTAAGGACATGAATGGACAATTCTCCAAAGAAGATATACAAATGGCTAGCAAGCAATAAAAAAATGCTCAGCATCACTAATGACGTGGGAAATGCAAATCAAAACTGCCATGCAATACCACCTTAGTCCTGCCAGGATGGCCATAACCAAAGCATTTCAACAACAGCAACAGCAACAGCAGATGTTGGCCTGGCTGCGGCAATCAGGGAACACTTCCATGCTGCTAGAAGAAATGTAAACTAGTACAGCCACTACGGAAAACAGGGTGGAGTTCCTTAAAGAGCTCAAAGTAGAATTACCATCTGATCAAGCAATACCACTACCAGGTATCTACCCCGAAAAATAGTCATTATTTGAAAAAGATAGTTGCACAAGCATGTTTATAGCAACACAATTCACAACTGCAAAATCATGGAACCAACCCAAATGCCCATCAATCAATGAGAGGATAAAGAAACTGTTATACATATACACGATGGAATACTACTCAGCAAAAAAAGGAATAAATTAACAGCAATATATACACAATGGAATACTACTCAGCCAAAAAAGGAATAAATTAACAGCAATATATACACGATGGAATACTACTCAGCCAAAAAAGGAATAAATTAACAGCAATATATACACGATGGAATACTACTCAGCCAAAAAAAGGAATAAATTAACAGCAATATATACACGATGGAATACTACTCAGCCAAAAAAAGGAATAAATTAACAGCAATATATACACAATGGAATACTACTCAGCAAAAAAAGGAATAAATTAACAGCAATATATACACGATGGAATACTACTCAGCCAAAAAAAGGAATAAATTAACAGCAATATATACACGATGGAATACTACTCAGCCAAAAAAAGGAATAAATTAACAGCAATATATACACAATGGAATACTACTCAGCAAAAAAAGGAATAAATTAACAGCATTTGCCACGACATAGGTGAGATTGGTGACTATTATTCTAAGGGAAGCAACTCAAGAATGGAAAACCAAATATTGTACATTCTCACTGATATGTGGGAACTGAGCTATGAGGACCCAAAGGCTTAAAAATGACACAGTGGTCTTTGGTGACTTGGCGGAGGGGGAGGCACAAGGGACAAAGGCAACAAATACAACTCAGTGTTTACTGCGCAGGCGACGGGTGTACCGGGATCTCACAAATCACTAAAGGATTTACTCATGTACCCAAACACCACCTGTCCCCCAATAACTTACATACAATAAATAACACAGAATCTTCTTACGAAGTATTTGTTATGCAGCACGCATTGTTCTGGGAGGTTTACACATCTTGATTTATTTAATTTTCTTTTTCTTTTTTTGAGACGAAGTTTCGCTCTTGTTACCCAGGCTGGAGTGCAATGGCGCGATCTCGGCTCACCGCAACCTCCGGCTCCTGGGTCAGGCAATTCTCCTGCCTCAGCCTCCTGAGTAGCTGGGATTACAGGCACGCACCACCATGCCCAGCTAATTTTTTATATCTTTACTAGAGACGGGGTTTCACCATGTTGACCAGGATGGTCTCGATCTCTTGACCTCGTGATCCACCCGCCTCGGCCTCCCAAAGTGGTGGGACTGATTTATTTAATTTTCTCACCAGCCACCCTCAGGGGACACGACTGTCAACCTCATTTTACAGATGAGGGAATGAGACATAGAAAGGTTAAATGACTTACTCAATGTTACACGTAATATATATGTGGCAAAGTCACGATTTAAAGTAATTAATAATGTGACTATATTTTAGGGGAAAGTTCAATTTACTCGAGGAAATAAATGTAAAATGTATCAGCATCTCCTTTGCATTTCAGCACATAATGCACTGGGCCCCACCGCTGTTGATGAACCAACTGCGAAGCTACGTGAAGCCAAAGTCGAGGTTACAGCAGTCTGCTGTCAGGAGAAGGGCGTCCTACCCATTCTCTACCATCTTATCTAGGGCTCTCCAATCTCTCTACTTTCTGATTCTGCCTAATACAGAATACAGTACAAAACCTGTCTTCCTGAGACTAACATGCTTCACCCATGCTTGGTGTCCAGGGCCCATGTCAATCATATCTGAGACTTGGTTTAACAAATGCACAATGAATCATCATCTCTTTCTTTAAAATGTGACTCAGTCATTAAAACATATCTAACCTGACTTCAAGTATTTTATTACTGAACATGTCAGTATCTTACACGAAGAGGTCTACCCTTTATTTGACTGAATAAAGTAAACAGATGCTTTCTGTTTGTGTAGAGACGATGCACAGGGTAGAGAACCAGAGGGTTGGGTGGGCACGGGGAGCTGGGTGGAGGCTCAGTCTCATCTGGCCTTCACTTGCCTTCCTCTAAGCCAGATTGCCTGAGGGGAGCAGCAGTGTAACATCTGCCTCCAGTGATGAAAATCCACGCTACCAACAGAATGGCCATAAATTGAGAAGAGTTAAGTACTGAGGTCCTGAAGACTCCTCCCAAACTCCTTAGATCTAAGTTTACCATCAATCTGTGGACATTATCAGACTACATAATCTTGTAAATTTGTCCAGACTGTCTTTCAGTTATTTTGAGTAAGTTATACAATATCAATTAGTTGATAGTTGTTCTTTAAAACTGGGAAGAAATGCAGATAACTGTTTTCTCACCATAAACTGAGCACACATGATGCTTCAAGCCATATAAATGGTTCATGGGTTTTGTGAACTGTACTTGTAGGAGGAGAATTCTGTCATTTCACCTCATAAATATTTGTGTAAAATCAAGATGACAACAGTTTGAAATTGAAATCTATGTTGAAACCTAATTAATAGCTTCATAAAATCTACAGTGATAGTAAGTGATTGCAGGAAGGAAAAAATTATCTGGGTCATTTTCAGCCATACTGGTGTGTATGATGAATCTAGGGGTGATTAAATCTTGAGTGCATAAATAAATGAATTACTGTGAAAGTGGAATGTTGATAAATTATTGATTGATGCCTAGTAGTCGGTACAGCTTAGTTATATCACTGATTATCTAGATGATTCTGCTTCCATGAATTTATTTTGCTAGCTCCACTCTTTCCAAATCATCAGGAATGCTTGATTTACTGCCTGGCTAACCAGGAGCTGGCTGGTACCTTCTCATCCTTGAGCCAAGGGCCTTCACTCATCCCTGTTTCTTTCCTTGATTATTACTTGCAAGGGATACATGTACTCTCTTATGATCATCTCTTCTTTTAACACATGCCCCACGATGAGAAGGACTCAGCCTGGCTTGTTACTCCCATAAGGACAAATGCCAACTAAAAATAAGAAGCTCAACTCTTTGTTAAGGACTGAATTCTGCCCCACACTAAATTTGTATATGAAAGTCCTACCCTCCAGTGTGACTTTATTGGCAGAAAGGGCCTTTAAAGAGTTAATTAAGGTTAGATGAGATGACAAGGATTGGGCTTCAGTATGATAAGACTGGTGTTCTTCTAAGAGCCGAAAGAGACACAAGAGATTTCTCTCCCTGTGCATGGGGAAAAGGCCATGTGGGAGAGAGTGAAAAGATAACTGTCTCCAAGATAGGAAGAGCAGTCTCACCAAAAGCCAACCCCATTGGCACCTTCCTCTTGGCCTTTCAGCCTCGAGAACAATGAGGGAATAAATACCTGTTGTTTGAGTTAGCCAATCCGTAGTGTTTTGTTAGGAAGCCTATGATGACTGACTGACTAATATATTCTCCACGTTAAAAATAAGAAAAGCAGCACCTTTGGCTTAGGGCATTTACTTTAGAAAGCTTGTACATCTTTGTCATTTTGAAATATAAGTAAATATTCTTAAAAGGTAACTTAGTCTCTTGTTACTTTTAAGACCCAAGGATGCTGTTCTCAAAGCTGGGGAATCATCACTTTGAAAATTATCAAGGAAGATAATACCTCCATTTCTCAGGTTCAGTAGGAGGCTGGGAGGGTCAGTTCGGCAGCTAACTTTCTCCCAGTGGCAAGACAACCTACTTCTATAAAGACATAAGAAGTTTATTTTTTCTGTGGATAAAGCCTAACAGAGACAGTTACCCCAATTACTAAGAAAATTTTAAATGAAAGGTGTGTGACAAATGGTACTGTAAAGTCCCCTTGAGGACAAGTTATTGCTTACCTTGAGGATCTGTATGTTAAAAGTTGCATCTTCTTGTTATATAAAAAGGTGAGTTTTTTTTTGCCTTTGCTTTTGATTTCTGAGCTGATTTCTTGAGATGTGCATCTCACTCTGGTTTAAAGCTAAAAGAAATAAGGTTATTCAATTAGGAAAGGAGGAAGTCAAATTATCTCTATTTGCAGATGACATAATTTTATATTTAAAAGACCCCACTGCCTCAGTCCAAAATCTCCTTAAGCTGATAAGTAACTTCAGCAAAGTCTCAGGATACAAAATCAATGTGCAAAAATCAAAAGCATTCCTGTACACCAATAATAGACACAGAGCCACATCATGAGTGAACTCCCATTCACAACTGCTACAAAGAGAATAAAAGACATAGAAACACAACTAACAAAAGATGTGAAGAACCTCTTCAAAAAGAGTGACAAACCACTGCTCAGGAAAATGAGAGAGGACACAAACAGATAGAAAAACATTTCATGCTCATGGTTAGGAAGAATCCATATTGTGAAAATGGCCATATCGCCCAAAATAATTTACATATTCAATGCTATCCCCATCAAGCTACCAATGTCTTTCTTCACAGAATTGAAAAAAAACACCTTAAGCTTTATATGGAATCAAAAGAGAACCAACATAGCCAAGACAATCCTAAGCACACAATTATGGAGGCATCATACTACCTGACTTCAAACTATAAGGCTACAGGAATCAAAACAGCGTGGTACTGGTACCAAAACAGATATACAGACCAATGGGACAGAGCAGAGGCCTCAAAAGTAACACCACACAGCTACCACTATCTGATCTTTGACAAACCTGACAAAAACAAGCAATGGGGAAAGGATACCCTATTTAACAAATGGTGTTGGGAATACTGGCTAGCCATATGCAGAAAGCTGAAACTGGATCCCTTTCTTACACCTTATACAAAAATGAACTGCAGATGGATTAAAGATTTAAACATAAGACCTAATGCCATATAAACCCTAGAAGAAAACCTAGACAATACCATCAGGGCATAAGCATAGGCAAGGACTTCATGACTAAAACACCAAAAGCAATGGCAACAAAAGCCAAAATAGACAAATGAGACCCAATTAAACTTAAGAACTGCGAGGTTCTCCAGGTCTGCAGTGGAGCGCAAGGCCAGCCGAGCCCAGCCTTGAGATCCCAGACGGGAGGAAAAGGGAACCCCTCAGATACCCAGAAATGGACCTGGAAAACAAAGTGAAGAAGATGGGCTTAGGTCACGAGCAAGGATTTGGAGCCCCTTGTTTAAAATGCAAAGAAAAATGTGAAGGATTCGAACTGCACTTCTGGAGAAAAATATGTTGTAACTGCAAGTGTGGCCAAGAAGAGCATGATGTCCTCTTGAGCAATGAAGAGGATCGAAAACTGGGAAAATTTTTTGAAGACACCAAGTATACCACTCTGATTGCAAAACTAAAGCCAGATGGAATTCCCATGTATAAACGCAATGTTATGATATTGACCAATCCAGTTGCTGCCAAGAAGAATGTCTCCATTAATAGTTATCTATGAGTGGGCTCCTCCTGTCCACAGTCAGGCATTGGCCACACAGTACATGCAGAGGCTACCCAAGGAAAAGCAGCCAGTGGCAGGCTCAGAGGGGGCACAGTACTGGAAGCAGCAGCTGGCAAAGAGCTCCCTGCACATGATCAGGACCCTTCAAAGTGCCATGAATTGTCTCCCAGAGAGGTGAAGGAGATTGAGCAGTTTGTGAAGTAATTTAAGAGTGAGGATCTGGGAGTAGGAGATGTCAAACTTCCCTGTGAGATGGATGCCTGAGGCCCCAAACAAATGTGCATTCCTGGAGGGGATGGAAGCACCCCACCAGCAGCGGGGGCCATGGAGGACAGATCTGCTGAGCACAAAAGTACTCAACATTCCTGCTATTGTTGCAAACTAGTATGAAGGCAGGCAACCCGCCATCTACACCGAAAGGGCCAGCTGTGATAAACTGTGGCACACAGCCTCTTTTGTCTGCAGCATCTGCCATGAACTCCTGGTTGACATGATTTATTTCTGGAAGAATGAGAAGCTATACTGTGGCAGACATTACTGTTTCAGTGAGAAACCCCGATGTGCTGGCTGTGATGAGCTGATATTCAGCAGTGAGTCTACCCAGGCAGAAAACCAGAATTGGCACCTGAAACACCTCTGCTGCTTTAGCTGGGGAATTATACGTGATGGTCAAGGACAAGCCCGTGTGCAAGCCCTGCTATGTGAAGAATCACGCTGTGGTGTGTCAAGGATCCCACAATGCCAGCGACCCAGAAGTGCAGTGGGTGACGTATACCAATTTCAGCTGGCATGCATCCACGGAGTGCTTTCTGTGCTCCTGCTGCAGCACATGCCTCACTGGGCAGAAGTTCATGCCAGTAGAAGGGATGCTTTTCTGTTCAGTAGAATGTAAGAAGATGATGTCTTCGGAGGAGGGTATCTAGCAGTATAGAGCCATAGCTCTCCAAAGTGGTCTGCATTTCTACTGTAAAATGTAATTTGTAAAAAAGCAAAAAGAAAAAAAAAAAAAACTCTAAAGGAAACCAAGAGATTTTCATTTTTTTGCCATTTTAAAATCAATCTTTTTTTCTGTCTCAACTTTTAAACTTGCTTTAAGCATTTGATTTGTTAAACAGTAACGAATTTTCTTTCCATAGCTTTTCCAATGTGAAATCATTTATCTGGAAGCTTGGATCTAATTAAACTTCACGTCTGTATTCCACTTGTGCCAAACTGAAAAGTTAGCGTAGTGAATGGGAAGATGAGCATTTCTGCTTCTGTGCTGCTTTGTTCCCTCATGTGTAAAACAAAAAGGAAACTAAGTTTGCCCTAATACCAAGGCTCTACATGTATCGCCTCATCTTATTCACTGACCTTTGTAATGATGCACAATGAATTCCTTTTGACAAGGAGAAATGCAGTGTAGTATGTAGAGCTGCTGTTTTAATGGCGATGCATTTGCTCTTTTCTGATTTAGACAGAGGTGGCATTTCCTTTATTGCATTTCTGTCTTTTTATGTATCCTACTACCTCTCAGTATTCTCTTTGTAAGTTGGTGACTTCCATCTGTGGCCTTGAATATTTTAGTATCACATGTGGTATAACAGTACCCACACTTCTTACTTCTACTTTTTTATTTGGACCAATTTTCCTGCCTCGGTCTCCCCAGTAGCTGGGATTATAGGCGCACGCCACCACACCAGCTAATTTTTGTATTTCTAGTAGAGATAAGGTTTCATCATGTTGGCCAGGCTGGTCTTGAACTCCTGACCTCAGATGATCTGCTCACCTCGGCCTCCCAAAGTGCTGGGATTACAGGTGTGGGAGCCACTGTGCCTGGCCTATACACTTTTTACTTCTATAGGTGATTTCTGGGTTGGACATAAAAACCAAGCCACCTGTTTGTTTTTAATCCAAAGAATATGCAGTTTTTGTACCCAGGAAACTACGATTTATACTGATTGCACTTACCTGCCATGGTTTTTTTTTTTTTTTTTTTTGGCATGGTTTTTATTCTTTTCTAATGGATCCTGTGTTGTAATACTTCTAAGCCTATCCATGGATATATCAAATGTCTTCACTTTTACACTTCCATGGTTAGATATTTCTAATGTTTATTTTTCCCTGTGTACTTCTATACATAGCTATGCACTATGAAAATTAAATGAAATGAATGATATGTATATTATTCAAAATAAACTTTCTTTCACTTAAAAAAAAAAAAACTTCTGCACAGGAAAAGAAACTCTCATTACAGTGAACTGGCAACATACAGAATGGGAAAAAATTTTTGCAATCTACCCATCTGACAAAGGGCCAATATCCAGAATCTACAAAGAACTTAAATTTACAAGAAAAAAACAACCCCATCAAAAAGTGGGTGACAGAGATCAACAGACATTTTTCAAAAGATGACATTTATGCAGCCAACAAACATATGAAAAAAAGCTCATCATCACTGGTCATTAGAGAAATGCGTATCCAAACTTCTTTGAGGTACCATCTCATGCCAGTTAGAATGGCGATCATTAAAAAATATGGAGACAGATGCTGGAGATGATGTGGGGAAGTAGGAATGCTTTTACACTGCTGTTGAGAGTGTAAATTAGTTCAACCATTGTGGAAGACAGTGTGGTGATTCTTCAGGGATCTAGAAATAGAAGTATCGTTTGACCCAGGAATCCCATTATTGGGTATATACCCAAAGGATTATAAAACATTCAATTATAAAGATACACATACATGTATGTTTATTGTGGCACTGTTTACAATAGCAAAGACTTTGAACTAACCCAAATGCCCATCATAGATAGACTAAACAAGGAAAATATGTGACATATACACCATGGAATACTATGCAGCCATAAAGAGGGACTTCATGTCCTTTACTGGAACGTGGATGAAGCTGAAAACCATCATTCTCAGCAAACTAACACAAGAACAGAAAACCCAACATTGCATGTTCTCACTCATAAGTGGGTATTAAATAATAAGAACACACAGACACAGGTGGGGAAACATCACACACTGGGGCCTGGGGAGTGAGGGGCTGGGGGTGAGGAATAGCAGTGGGGGAGCAAATTGGGGAGGGATAACATTAGGAGCAATATCCAATGTAGATGACAGGCCAGTGGATGCAGTACCCACCACCATGGCATGTGTATACCTATTTAACAAACCTGCACAATGTGCACATGGACCCCAGAACTTAAAATATAATAAATAAACTTTTCTAAAAAATAAGTGGATGGTGAACAATGAGAACACATGGACATAGGGAGGGGAACATCACACACTGGGGTCTGTGGGTGGTGGGGGAGGGCTAGGAGAGGAATAGCCAGGGATGGGGGGATTGGGAAGGGGTAACAGGAGAAATACCTAGTGTAGGTGATGGAGGATCAGATGCAGCAAAGCACCATGACACATGTATACCTACAGAACAAACCTGTACTTTCTGCACATGTACCCCGGAAATTAAAGTATAATAATAATATTTCTTTCTCTCCTACATTTGTGATGAAGTTTTCTGGGTTGGGAGGAGATTTTGTTTTCAATTATGTGTCTCCAACACCTCCCAGTCTCAGTGAGAATA